AAATGCCCCCTTCTGAAAAAATTTTATTGACCAAAGTAGATTTTTTTTATTTAATCATTTTTTTTTGCCCATTACATGTATCACATGTCAGATCTATGTAAAATAAGGTTTTATTGTTGATGGTAGATATTTTTTTTAAAGTCAGAAAATGTATACGTATTTACTGTTTACTGAGATTTTTATAAAAAAAAATTAAAATTTCGCAGCACAGTTAAGGTTACAAATGGAAATATCGGCGATTTTTTAAGATAAAAAATACATACCTTATTAGGATGGGCGATTCTTTTTAGGAATTCACTGATATAAAAAAATGTAATGTGGTTTAAATCTACATGTTGGGGACATTTAGATTTTTTATTTAGACTTTTCATGTCATGTCGACATCACATGACTTTGGCAATTATACTTGCAGTTTAGAGGTCATCTATAAATTTCAATATTGCAAGGGCATAACCAAGTTAAAAATCTTAGCTTATTTTATAATCCTTTTCAACACTATATGTAGTTTGTGAAAAGTGCTGCGAACCTGTATAGATTCCCTTTTTAGCTCACCTGAGCCAAAGGCTCAAGTGAGCTTTTCTGATCACATTTTGTCCGTCGTCCGTCCGTCTGTCTGTCTGTAAACTTTTAAAATTTTCGACTTCTTCTCAAGAACCACTGGGCCAATTTCAACCAAACTTGGCACAAAGTATCATTGGGTAAAGGGGATTCAAGTTTGTTCAAATGAAGGGCCAAGCCCTTTTCCAAGAGGAGATAATCATGAATTTGTTAAAAATTAATGGCATTTTTAAAAAATCTTCTTCTCCAGAACCACTGGGCCAGGAAAGATGAAACTCATGTGGAAGCATCCTCAGGTAGTGTAGATTCAAGTTTGTTCAAATCATGACCCCCGGGGCAAGGGTGGGGCCAAAATGGCCGACCCAAGTTTTACATAGGAATATATAGGAAAAATCTTTAAAAATATTCTTCTCCAGAACCACTGGGCCAGGAAAGATGAAACTCATGTGGAATCATCCCCAGGTAGTGTAGATTCAAGTTTGTTCAAATCATGACCCCAAGGGCAAGGGTGGGGCCAAAATGGCCGACCCAAGTTTTACATAGGAATATATAGGAAAAATCTTTAAAAAATCTTCTTCTCCAGAACCACTGGGCCAGGAAAGATGAAACTCATCTGGAATCATCCTCAGGTGGTGTAGATTCAAGTATGTTCAAATCATGACCCCCGGGGCAAGGGTGGAGCCAAATCGGCCGACCCAAGTTTTACATAGGAATATATAGGAAATATCTTTAAAAATCCTTCTCCAGAACCACTGGGCCAGGAAAGATGAAACTCATGTGGAATCATCCCCGGGTAGTGCAGATTCAAGTTTGTTCAAATCATGACCCCCGGGGCAAGGATGGGGCCAAAATGGCCGACCCAAGTTTTACATAGGAATATATAGGAAACATCTTCTTTTCCAGAACCACTGGGCCAGGAAAGATGAAACTCATGTGGAATCATCCTCAGGTGGTGTAGATTCAAGTATGTTCAAATCATGACCCCCGGGGCAAGGGTGGAGCCAAATCGGCCGACCCAAGTTTTACATAGGGATATATAGGAAATATCTTTAAAAATCCTTCTCCAGAACCACTGGGCCAGGAAAGATGAAATTCATGTGGAATCATCCCCGGGTAGTGCAGATTCAAGTTTGTTCAAATCATGACCCCCGGGGCTAGGGTTGGTCAAAATGGCCGACCCAAGTTTTACATAGGGATATATAGGGAAACCTTTTAAAATCTTCTTTTCAAGTACTTCAAAGCTATGATTAGTAATATTTATATGGAATCATCCTCAGGTAGTGTAGATTCTAGTTTGTTCAAATGAGGACGCCTGGAGTGGGGGGGGGGGAGTAAATTCAAGCCCGATGTGCTCAGGTGAGTGCTGTGGCCCCTGGGCCTCTTGTTTTATTCACCCTTCACTGGACCTCTATATTTTTGTTACCTTATTGAACCTCAGTTAAGTTTTGCAGGCATTGGTCAGTTACGACCTATTGTATAGAGGGTATTTAAATCGCCGCATAGCTGACCAAGTAGCCGGGTTCCACGTTTTCATAGATTTCTTATATGCCATGCTTGAGGCACTACAAGATGTGTAGATAAGTAGATTTTCAACGGTAACCATTTCTCCATAAGGGGTAGGTTTGTTTTTTATTATATATATAAGTTTTGAGTACTACATTTAAGACGTAAAGCTATGTACAAATTTGAGTTAAGTAATGTTTTTGTCACTGTTTACGTATACAGGTTTTGCTGGGTAGAGTTACTCAGGCGTGTATAGTTCTATTTTTGTGCAATGTACTAAGTTATGTACGCACGTAGGCTATTTTGTTTTGCCGCTTATAAAGTCGGTGTTGTGGATTTAATAGTTAAAACCACTTTTGTTAAGATGTTGTATATTCTTAACGTTTTTCTTATTATAAAGTGTTCGGTTAGAATTACCGGTACTGTTTTGTATGGTGTGCCATAAGTGCAACTATAGTCAATGTTGACGTGTTATTTTAAGTATACGTAACTTGCGACTTAAAATATTATTTAATTTAAAGGTTCCAGAGATATTCCAGACATATTCCAGCCATATTCTATCTATAAGGGCCATTTTGTTTGGACACGTGGTACCAGCGTTACCTGGACCGGAAACCCACTGGGAGCCAGTTGGCGGGAGTCCGTCGTAAAACTGGGAATGTCAGGACGCGGTCGCGTGGTACACAGGAATTGATATGGATATATAAAGACTTAAAGTGATATTTATTGTAGATATTTTTGTAAAAAAATATGTTGTAAATATTGTTTTTATTGATTTTATTTACAGATAAAAAATTGTAAATACAAAAAAAAAATCTTGTTGTTGTCTGACTGAACAGAGCACGACGGCTGTCGTGACATTGTTCTGTAATCTAGTAGAGCAAGTTGCTTGTCGTCACACTTGGTCCATAGGTTCTTTATAGTTTGTACTGCTCTCTCAGCATCGCCATTCGAGCTTTGAAAATGAGGGCTGCTTCTTTCGTGTTCAATTCCAAGCTCTGTGCAAAAGGTTTTGAAGGTAGCTGAGCTGAATTGTGGTCCATTGTCAGACCTGAGTTTTCCTGGAAGTCCATGGCATGCGAAAACTGTTTTCATGGCTTCTATTATGGCTGTAGTTGTCTCTGATCTGAGTTCTACAGCGTTAACGTACTTTGAGTAGTAGTCCACCAGAATCAGGTATTTCTTGCCTCTGAATTCAAATACATCAGTTCCCACATGAGTGTATGGTAGATCTGGAGTTGGTGTTGGCATTAGAGGCTCTCTGTTTTGCTATTTTTGATACTCTGCACAAGATGGACAGTTGCTTACGGCCTGTTCTATGTCAGCATTCTTGGCTGGTCAATACATGACCTCTCTGGCGCGACTCTTTGACTGACTATCCCAAGGTGAGACTTGTGTATAGGTTAAGCATCTCTTTCCGCAAGCTGGGTGGGATGACTACTGTGGTTTCATCAATATTCGTTGAGCACCAATTTTCGTGGATTTCGTTGTTGAGCAGATCCACGAATTCAAATGTTCATTGAATTACGAAATATGACATTCATTTGTATAAGCAATGCCTTTGTCCACGAAATTACGTATCCTCGAAAATGTCTGTTTTACAAAATCCACGAAAATTGATGCCAACGAAAATTGATGAAACCACAGTATTCGACTTCCCTTGTACACAATGCTGTCAAGAACGAATAACTGATCCCTCGAGTCGAAGTACTGTCTGACTTCAAAAGGAGATTCGTTCTTTGTGTCTGGCTATCCTGTTTGAATGGTGCTCATGAGAGTTTCAAGTTCACTTCTTGTTGATCTCTGGATTTCGGAGTATTTCTCGGGTGTTATGGATAACATACAGATCATGTCTGCTTTCTCTGTGTCCTCTTCACCGCTTTCCTCTATGTAGGCTCGTGATTGTGTCTGAAATGTACATCATAGTTCCCTTCCTGTATTTGACATTGATGTCGTACCACTGTAGTTTTATCATCATCTTTTGAATCCTCATAGGAGCTGACAGTAAGGGTTTGTTGAACAAAGTCTCTAACGGCTTATGATCACTGTACACTGTGACCTCCTTGCCAAAAATGTAGTTGTGAAATTTCTGACAACTGTACACTATAGCTTGCATTTCCTTCTCAATTTGTGCGTACCGTTTCTCTGTTTCTGTAGGAGCTTTAGAACCATAAGCTACTGCACTGCCTTCCTGTATCAAGACTGCTCCAAGTCCATCTGTACTTGAATCGCATTCGATCTCGACCGGTTTATTCACGTCAAATAGAGCTAATACTGGTGGCTTGGTACACACGTCCTTAAGTTTCTGGAAACTTTTGTCCTGTTCATGGTTCCATTGGAATTCCACATCAGACTTGAGAAGGATTCTTAGTGGAGCGTCTAAATCACTCAAGTTTGGAATGAATTTCGACAAGTACTGTACGAGTCCAAGGAACCTGCGGACACCTTCCTTGTCATGTGGAGCTGGCATGTTAAGTATAGCCTTGATTTTGTCTGGGTCTGGTTTGAGTCCCTGGTCCGACACTATATGGCCCATGTATGGCACACTAGACTTACGAATTTTGCATTTTTCAAAGTTCAATTTCAGATTGTAGTCTGTTGCCCGTTCCATAACTTTTCTAAGTATGGCATCATGTTCCTCGAGTGTTTCACCTGCGATGAGGATGTCATCTATTATGGCAGACGCACCTTTGAATCCAGATATCATGTTGTCCATGATAGATTTCTGGTGCTGATTTTATGCCGAAGGGTAGTTGGAGCCAACGATATCTTCCTATCGGTGTGTTAAATGTTGTCAGGTACGATGACTTCTCTTCGAGCTGAATCTGCAAAAATCCAGATTTGGCATCCAATACCGAGAATATCTTGGCTTTCGGTATGTCTGATATGACGTCGTCAATAATTTTCATAGGGTGATGCTCACGTTTTATGGCGTGATTTTAATCCCTTGGATCTATGCAGATGCGTATCTTTTCTCCCTTTACACTTACTACCATTGAGCTGACCCATTCTGTTGGCCTGTCCACTCTCATGATGTATCCATTAGCTTCCATCTCTCTCAGCTTGTCAACTGCCCTGGGCTTGATTGCTGCTGGGAGTTTCCTTACGGGATGAATAACTGCAGGTACAGATTCGTCTATACTGAGATGGTATTCTAGGGGTAGTGTTCCTGTACTTTCTACGAGTTCTGGATAGTCTCTGGATAGTTCACTTTGTGCACTTTCTGTAGTCTCAGTCACAGCTGATATCGAAGTCTGCAGATGGGGGTCGGTTTTGTATATCAACCCAAGAGTAACTGCAGTGTCTCCACTAATGATATTCTCTTGATCCAAGTCGACCACTTCAAAGTGAACGTTAGTTTTATGATCACGGTAAACAACTGGAAGAGTTACTGATCCTATTGGTTTGATCTTATGGTTGCTGAATAACTTAAGAGTCTTGTTGGAACTCTCCAGTGTGCATCCTCCCAAGTTTCTAATTTGAGCAGATGTGAGTATCTTAGTCCGTGCTCCTGTGTCTATCCTGCAGCGAATCTGCTGACCTTTGATACCAAGACGAACGTCCCAGTTGTCATCCTGACTGGACTTGACAGAAGTACACATGCTAATGGTAAGTAGTTCCTCTTCCTCTGACTCTGTATCTCGCTGTACCGTGCTGACTTTGATCTGTTTCAGCCGCCGCCGACACACTTTCTTCCAGGGGTTTCGTTGTTTACAGTAACTGCAAATGGTTCCTAGTGCTGGGCACTTTCCACGTTCGTGTTCCAAACCGCAACTTGAACAATTTGGGTTGTCACTTGGTTTATAGGCTTTGGGTTTTCCAGTTTTAACAGTTTTATTGCGCGACACATTGAATTTGGTTGTGTGTTTCTTTTGTGAATAAGAGTCAATTTTCAACACTTCCTCTCCTCTCATTAATTTGACTTGCGCTTGTGACAGTTCAAACTGTTGTCCGATTTCTATAGCTTTCTTGAGTGTGATATCCTGACCTTGTTCTAACAGTCTCTCTTGCACTTTCCTATGCCTGACGCCACTAATGATTAAGTCAATCAAAACATCATTATTATCAGCGTAATCACAGTCCATAGCTAAGATTTTGAGATCCTTAACAAGGTTATCAAAAGTTTCGGCCTCTTTTTGTGTTCTTTGGTGAAGTCTGAATCTTGCCATTCGTTTGTTTTTCTTGGGGCGAACATAATTTTCTAATTTCTTCACAATTTTTTTTGGGTCGTCTTCATCGTCATTTTCAAACACAAAAGTCTTGTACACTTCCCTACCTTCTTGTCCAATCCACATGCCGATCCATCCTGCCTTATGTTTGGCATCGGATTTCGCTAGTGGCCCTTTGAAGATGAAACTCACGTGTTGCTTGAACCGACAAAATTCCTGGTACAGATATCCGGCTTGCCAATCGAATCTGGGCTGATCGAACGAAAGAGTTGCCATTCCGAGTTCGAGTTTCTTCTGACACCATGTAATATAATATCAACGGACACCGGCTTGGTGTATGAAACAGTTTTATTGAACACTGACAGTACAGTGGCGCATTCAGACATCTGACATGGCGGGTAATTTTACAGAGGTAGCAAGGGCAGATAACCCCAACTTCCGTTATAGACAAGTCGTACATAAAATACTAAAGTACATTACAATCATAATGAATTTAATCTGTTATAACAAATGTGTTGATTTCGTTATAACGAATTCAACAATTTCTTAATACGAATTAAACTCGTTTTAACAGATTCTAAAATTTATTACAAAGAATTGAATTCGTTTAAACGAATTCCATTATTTGTATTGACGATTTAAATTCGTTAAAACGAATTCGAAAAATCGTTATATCGAATCATGTATATGTTCATATATATTTTTCTATAGGTCCTGATTATTGAATTTGATTAAACGAAAATAATTCGTTATAACAAACTTTGGAAATTGTTTAATCGATTACTACAGGTTTCCGGCCGGCAACCACGGCACTTTCATCAAAAAAGGCATCGGTGTCTCATCGTATATCCCATCACTGGATAATGTGACTGATACTTAAGGCATTACCACCGATTACCATCGGTCTACGGCCACTGGCCTGAAAAAGTATCAGTCACATTATCCAGCGATGGGGTATACGATGAGAAAGCGATGCGTTTTTTATGAAAATAGCGTGGTTGCCGGCGGACACCACTAGTGATTGGACGGTGACTGAGGCCATTTTGCGAATCGGTGGGGTCTTCGGTAGGAAATAATTCGTAGTCAAAATTCAGCGATGTCTCCAACGAGGCCTTACATCGCTCCTCATCGACAACCCATTATTAACACATCTTTCAAGGATCGGCCGATTTATGGCCGAGCATCGTCCAATATCCGTTGAATCTGAGGTCATCAGGGGGTTGAGTAGTGGGCAGCAGACATCGACCGATCATCGGTCGATGTTCGATCAAACATTGGCCCATATACGACCAACGTACGAACGATGTTCACCAATGTATGAGCGATGTAATATACATTGGCCGATTATCCTGGAACATCGTTTTATGATTAGCAATGCATCGCTGAGCAGTTGTAGGTCTGGCCGGCAAACACGCCATTTTTATCAAAAATCGCATTGGTTGCCCATCGTATACCTCATCGCTGGATAATGTGACTGATACTTTAAGGACTTCTAGGCCGTTGTGTACCGATATTTAGGCATCGCTCACACCACTGATTACCACCGATTACAACCGCTCTACGGCCACCGGTCGGGCATTGTGACCTAGGCAAAAGGTGACTAAGACATTAGGAAAAATATTAGCTATAAATGGCTTTGTTTTAAAACAAATGACGGTATCGGGTGGAAAATACCCTCAAATGTGTCGGTAAATTAAAATTGAACTGTTTGTGAAATATTTTGTACCAGAGTAGTACTGCAGTATCACTTTTCCCAAGAACATTTCGGGTTCACAAGAATGCGACAAATTTATTAATATGACAAAAAATTAATAATTTTTTTTAATTGACTTTAAACACAAACATACATACACATACAGAGACTTTTCTTTTTTTTTTTAATCTTTTATTATGTCTGTGGATGTTTTTTGTGCATGTGTGTTCGTATGTGTTGTCTCTTTTTGAGTGTATGTATCTACTTCGTACGGCTGGAGTGTTATATATTTATATTCATGTATCCTGGATCATATTCCTTTTCTCAATCATTAATATAATTTATGATTATTTACTATCTATCTATTGAGAAAAGGATAGATGTATTGAACTTCCTTAAACAAAAACAATTTTCAATCTACTTCCTACAAGATACCCATTATATACATATTGTAAGGAGAGGCCATATATTGTTTTTTAGTGGAATTTTATAAACAAAACAGTCACCAAACTAATTCAAGATAGTGGTAATATAATAACAGAACAATCCGAAATTTTATCAGAAATTGAAAACTTTTATAAAGAGCTATATCCATGTTCGGATGATAAATTACAGGATATCGACTTGAAAAGTATTTTAAGCATGGAAAATGTTAAAATTCTAAAAAAAAAAAAAAGAAAAAAAGAAACATGGTGTCAGTTAGAAGGTACAATAACTGAAGCTGAAGCCTAAACAGCATTTAAAAATATGAAACCTGATAAAAGTCCAGGAAGTGACGGATTTACAGCCGAATTTTACAAATTTTTTTTGAAAGATATTGGGCAGTTCCTTATTAGATCAAATAACTATGGATTTCAAAATGGAGAATTATCCACCACTCAGAAACAAGGAATTATAACAATCTTACCAAAAGGCGATAAACCAAGAGACTTTTAAAAAAAAAAATGGCGACCAATATCTTTGCTCAATATTTCATATAAAATAGATCTGCATGTATTGCAAATAGAATAAAATGCGTATAAAATTATCTTATACGTGACAATCAAAAAGGTTTTCTTAAGAATAGATTTATTGGTGAAAATACACGTTTTATCTACGATGTACTTCAAAGTACAAAGACAAGAAATATACCAGGAATTATTTTACTCATTGACTTTGAGAAGGCTTTTGATTCGGTTTCATGGAAATTTATGTACAAAACATTAAAGACTTTTAACTTTGGTCCTGACCTTATCAAGTGGATACAAGTACAATATAATCAAACTCAACTATGTGTGATTCAAAACGGTATATTTTCACAATTCTTCAAAGTAGGTAGAGGTTGTCGCCAAGGACATCCTGTCTCTCCACATATATTTATTCTTTGTATAGAGATTATTGGGATATATGATTAGACAAAATAAAAATATAAAAGGAATAAAAATAGGTAAGGAAAAAATATGTTTACTTCAATATGCAGATGACACAGTTATGTTTTAGATGGTTCAGAAAAAAAGCCTAAAAAGTGCCTTAGATCTTCTTTTTCAATTTTCAAAATTTTTAGGACTTAAACCAAATATTACCAAAACAAAATCAATATGGATAGGTTCTGATATAAATTCCAGAAAAACTCTATGTAATGAAACAGGACTTCAGTGGACAGTGGAACCTTTTTCAGTTCTTGGCATCACATACTCGTATACTGCTGACCTAAAAAATATGGAACAACTTAATTTTGAGAAATATCTTCAAAACATTAAAAAGGAAACCACTTCTTGGTCAAAAAAAAAATTAACCCCACAAGGGAAGGTTACAGTAATAAAAAGTCTATTCTTATCCACTATTTACTGTTCTCCGGATAAAAAGTGGATAAAGGAATTGGAAAAAAAACTTTTTTATAAATTTATCTGGAATAACAAAAACAGAGAAAATCTCAAGAAGAACAATGCAACTTTCCAAAGAGAATGGTGGGCTTAATATGACAGATATTGACTATTTTATTAAATATCTAAAATTGACTTGGATCAAAAGACTATTATTTACAAAATCTGATTGGATTCCACTGTTCACTGAAATAACAAAATGTAATATTGTACACCTGGCCCATTTTGGACCAGAGTATACAAAAGTTAAAGCAAAGAACACTCATAATAGCTTTTGGAAAGAAGTATTAGATATATTTTCAGAATTTTTAAGTTTGGTAACATGCAACTTGAACCAGGGAGATATTTTATTAGAACCTCTCTGGTATAACAATAAAATTATGGTTCAAAATAAGTATGTTTTTTTTTCAAAACCATTGTATGAAAAAGGATTTATTGTAGTTGGTGATTTATTTGACAATAATGGTAATTTTTTATGCTTTGATGATCTTGCCCAAGAATATTCCTTAAAGAAATTAATAATTAGTGTGTAAATTAACTGCACCGCAGCGATTAATGATACACTTCAAAAATTAGAAATAACCTTTAAGTGATCAACTAAACAAATATGGTTTTATATATAGTTAAGAGAACTTCTTTATATAAATTGGCCGTACTTATATATAAGAATATAACTTACAATTATAAATCAAAAACGACCTCCAAAGCTTCGGGAAGATTAACATTGCTGCACAGTTTACGCCTTTTTTGTGGAGGTTGGGGATTATTTTTTCTAGAAAATATAACAGTATATTTTTTACGCCAATCTTCAATTTGTTATTAACACACTGATGCCGTAGAGCGGGTTTTCTTGACGAATGTAAAATTTGGCGTTTAGCCTTCTCGAGAGTATGCTAATAAATTTGGCGTAAGAACTATATGTGGTATATTGCATATATTTGCCCCCACAAAAGTCAAATTTTGAAAACTTCCTGAAATGTGCTGAATTCAATAAATTGTATGAGAAATATAAATCAACAGAAACTATTATAATGTCAAAGCAGTGTATTCACAATTTTTGTTTTTATGACGTCACAAACTAGTCCGATTTTATATCCTTTTTCAGAAAGAGGACAAAATGGACAAAATTTCAACAATTTTAGCTTTACAATTTATAGAGCGCACGTTTGTTCAGGAACAATATTGACATATTTCATTGATATTATCATTCTACACATTATATCTGTATCAAAATATTGATCCTGAACACACACGTGCTCGGTGACTTTTACTCAAAATATCGACGAAATATGTATATTTTTCTGTAAAATTCCTAAAAAACTTAAATTTACGTCATGTTTGTGACGTCATTACGTACATATGGCGTCATTACTTATGAAAATATTCAGTGCTTCGAAGTCAGCATATACTCCCCTGTTTTAGAACTTAATTAAATATATCTCCATCAAAGTTTGATTTGGGGGGCAAATATTGGTTATTACCGAATAAAGTTCTTTACTTTAGCGGATACAGGGTTTCAGCTATTTGCAGTTGAACACCAAGAAGAGTACTGAATATTTTAAGCGATTGAAATTTTAGCGGGCTGCAATCAAAACGCCAAAATAAGCCAAATAAACTCCCTGCTAAAATAACTCGCTATACGGTATTGTAATCTAATGCAGTAATTAAGATATAAAAACATAATATATATTTATCATAATGTTTCTTCCTAGAAAATGAATGCCTCTTGTTGAATTAATAACGTCTAAGAACGAAATGGACGTTGAAGAAATAAACAATCACTTTCTGAAAGATTTTACTCTCATTTATTCCCGTTTTATGCTCTAAAACATTATTCATTAACAAACAAAAAATGCAGAGTTTATGACATTTGCATTTAAATCAGGAATTAATGTTATTCTTATGTTAAGTAAACATGTGACATTACTTTTGAATCACCTCTTACATTAACTCAACGCATGTTCCTGAAGTGCCATATAGAAGATTTCTGTTATTCTCATTAATCAAGTTCATAATAATTATATTCTTTGTATTTTTGGGGGGAAAAAGCATTTAATGTTATTCAAAATTATGCGCATAGTGCATATACTAACAAGTTATGTAAATTGTTGTCATTTATCGTATATATATATATATATTTCTATATAGATATAAGATACTCTTACTGTGGTATTAAACAACGAATTTTAAGGGACAATAATATGACGGTTTTGGAAAAAATTCTTATTTTTGTACTTGTTTGTTTGGTTTTAGTAAGTGTTCAAATGTTTTTTTTTAAATATCATTGTAATGAATCGTTTTTCTCAATGAAATCATTTTTAAAAATATATATAAATGCTTATTTTCGCTATATTTCCAGGGTGGATCCCAGAGTCTAAAATTTAACTCAAAAGCAGGGGTAGTTAATCAAAAAACAAGGTAATTTTTCTCCTCTTCTTGTAATTTAGACGAATTGTAACATAAATTGAAATAAATTTTAAAAAATAATTTGTTTTTTTTAATTTCTCACAGACGGTGTTCAAACAGAGAGACAACCCATCTTCGCGATGTAAATTCAAATGAGAAACAGGTATAATTATCTCTTTCCCTCTTTGTCTCTCGCTCTGTCTGTCTGTGTGTGTATGTGAGGGTGAGAGGGTGTGTGTGTATGTTTTGGGGATCTGAAGACTCAATGAGCGAGACTGATCGAAATGCGTTTGTTAATTTCGACATTGTCATTATTGTTGTGAATTGTAAATTCCTTTTTAAATGCAATTGCCTTTTCAAACATTCTAAAAAAAAATTCAACTAATTAAGCTTTGAATAGAGTAGCACTGGGTAAAATTAAATTCTTTAAATATTCAATTAATTTTTTTTCAAAAGTGAAAAATGGTGACAATCGTGAAGGTAGAGTCGTTCCAAGATTTTTTCTTAAAACTATTTTGCAAATATATGCAACTTAATTGAGAGCTGCTGAACAAAGTTTAACAATTATTAACATATTAATATTAAAAACATTTCTTTGTTTTTTTTAATTATCCCATAAAATCAAATAGTTTATGATTTTTCCTATTATTAGTGTTTTATTCATATTTTGTCTTATTGCTGATACCAGTTTATTTAGAACATGGCTTTTAAGTAGGGATACAATAGGGTATCAATGAAAAATTACATAGAAATATTTAGAAAATTTCAGACATTTTAAATTTAAGGATTATCTCCCTAGGTCAAGTTAGTAGCTTAGTATTTCGGTAAAAGCTTGAAATTGCTGTTTTAGAAATTCAAATTCAAATTTAAGGACTATTTGTCTCATTCATTCCATCTTCTTTTTGTAGTCAAGCTCAAGCAAATCTGAAGAGTCTGATGAATCTGACGAATCTGATAAAAATAATTTAAAAGCAGTCCAAGCATCGGCAGACAGTACGAATGAAAAGAATACAGCTGTTAAAGATACAGTTTCAACTTCAATACAAAAGGAAGAGAATTCGTCAATGATTGCCGACACTACAGATGTAATACCAATTCCCGAGCAAATAGAACATGCTCAATTGAAAGATGATGATATATGCTGGGATTTTGAAAAGGAACGATGCAAAGAGCTGGCCGATGCATACTCGGTAAGGCTTTGCATTTCATTTATTTCAAATGTACCACGCATCCTATTTATGAAAAGTACAGGGGTTGTTATGTACAAGCTGCATGGCTTGACAATCCAGGTAATTCTCAATTCCTGCGCAGTAACAAACGATATTAAATAGAAGATTACTGAAAGTAATACATGGAGGCATGGATAGAACATTTTTACATTTCACAATTTTATTACCTATTGTATATGTAATCGGAAGATCGTTGATTCGAATCTTGGCCTCAATCGATTAAATAGATTTTTAAAAAAAAAAACCTGGCAATTGTTTCACTCGTCAAGCGCTTGGTGAAAATTGCGGATCCTCAAGATGAAAACCTTAAAAAACCTTAGCCCTTTTCACATTCGTTGGCGCGATAGATTGCATACATGTACGTAATACATTGATCGGGTATTGATTAACAAGTGACTGAGAATAAATATAAATCTAGTTTCAAATACTTTACACTTTAGTAAAAAAAATAAACAATTTTTTTTTCTTAAATAATAAGTTGCATTTTTCCGCATTCACCCCTCAATAAAATTCTTTAAAACTATCTTTACGAGGGTCGTTAAAAAATTACGCAGACTCGTTGCAAAGAAAAAATATTTGACGACATAATCGGGCAAAATGTCACACATAATATAAAAGAATCTTTACTTATATGGCCTTGAAAATTTCATATTAAAATGTTGTAAATTGGTATCAATTTTGAGTGATTTTTCAGGACATATCTTTAAGTCACGGAGCAGCAAAACCTTCAACGTCACAGGCATTATAAAAAGAATATGTGATAGATCTCTCATTTTCTCAACATTTTCCCAAGAGTACCTGTACAGTTTGAGTTACCTTATCTTCTCAACATCCAAACACCATTTCTTGATAAGCTTAACATCTATTAAACAAGTAGAGAATATTCATTTTTTGTTTTAAAACCAAATACTGCTGGTATTTACGACATAAAGTGTGATATTAGTGACTCTCAATCACGTATTTACAGTGTCGTCAAAAGTTTTCGTCAAAAATCTTTTTCCAGTCCTACCGTACAGCTTTTTTACATAGGTCTAACGGTATAAAATTTTGATTTGCTATTTGTGGACGAATGTCACGAATACCCTAGTTTACTACATGTTTTATTATGCATATTTTGGATCTATGTTGGCGATATCTCGAGCATTGCACATAATTTAACAAAAGTGTGGTGCCATTTCAGACGTCATTTTCAGAGTCAATCGCATCAAAGAAAAATCACGATATTTCTGTTAATACTTAAAATATCACATCAGAAATCTAAATACATAATAATAGAACAATTTAAAGATACATTTGAGAAATCTGTCCAAAAATATCGCAAATTATAGAAAACAAATGAGTTAAATTTTGGATTCCGTATGCTTTTGCTTTTTGCTTTTTCGTCGTGCTCCGTACCTCTCCATTAGCAATATCAATATACCGATAATTTTTTTTAGTAGATCTTTTTTTAAAATACAGAAATTTTGCCCAAAATTTATTGAGAAAAAAAGATTATGAGATATATATAGCACAACGTGACGTCATTATAGTGGTGTACTTAAATGAATGCAAGAGGTGATGAAACATTGGAAACGGAGAAAATATTGTTGCTTTTATACATCATTTATACCAATAATGTACTTTGCATGCACTATGCCTAAATATTAGTTTCGTGTATATTAGTTTAATCTGATTGGTCGAGAAACATTTGTTAAAAAACACTATTACTAGCTGAATAATTAAACCACGCCCTCCAGCGTAGTAGCAGTCAACAGTGCTTGACGACGTTTGATATTCCAAAAATAGCGACTGCTCAGAATTTATGCGCGCACGGTTCACTGTTATATGTTTTTGTATAAAGCATTCAGTATAATATAATAAATATTGGATGTAGTTAAGGTACGTCACTCGTCAACTTTGTAGAAAAGTTCACGCAGAACCTCTTACTTAAAACATATTTATTAAAATTCAATTTTTATAAAGTATTTATATTCAACAATGTAAATTTTTTAACATTCATCGAAAAAACTGCTTAAAAATCTACAAAAAAGCAAGATTTATGAGGGACTATTTCTTGTGGTGGAAGGATATTCAGCAGAAATTTCTGCAATTCTGCACATTTCTTAAATTTAATGTCTTGAAACTTTAGCCTCACATACTTTTACTCGGAGAATATTTTCCGTTATGATATTGCAGGAATATTTAATATATGTCTTAATTTATGTTTTTAGAACAAGTTTTACACCTTCCCTCAACAAACTTTGCCAAGAAATGAAGATATATTAAAGAAGTCAAGATAAAATTTACACCATTTTTTGCCTGAAAATCACATATTTTGACCAATATTTCAAAATTAACATCACTGACCTCAACTTTTTCTTTCATTATTTTAAACTACTCGATACTTGTAACTGATCAGCACTTAACTCCTAAAAAGCTTGATATAAGAAAATATTTTATTGCCTATTTAGTTTTTAAATACCCCAAATATGTTATTTTTTAGTGCAAAAAGGTCACACAATAATAAACGAGCATTAATTTGCAAGATTTGTTCAAGGATAAATATTATTCAAACCATTCTATGTAAAATAAGATTAAATTTATTAACGTAGTAACATCTTCTAAAATAAAATTAAAGATAAAGTAATAAATCAAAGAGTTAAAATTTAAGTGCAAAAAGGTCAACTTAATTGTACCATAGATCAGTAAGATGCACACTGACCCCTATTTTCTCTGCGATTTTGAGTCATACTATATGAGTACTTATTCAAAATATACTTCCCAAAAAATCCTTGATTTAATGAATTTGACGAGTGACTTACCTTAAGTGTAACATTGAATATTATTACCCCTTGAAAACCATTGTCAACCTCGGCTGCGTCTCGGTTGACAATAGTTTTCTTGGGGGTGAAAATTTTCCATGTTACACTCGCCTGCTGCTCATGCACTATGTGTCAAACCCTGGCTACTATTTAGGCATAGTGCATGCAAAGTGCAACTTTTAAGAAATAAGGTATCATTTTTTGAGTTTGAATGGGATGAAATAAGGGTTGGTCACGTGATCAAATCCCATAAAGCCCGACGGGCTTTATGAAAGAGTTGAATATGTGCCAGCCTGTTTTACAATGTACACCCCAATAAAACTAAAAACAATCTTACCTTATTACTTATGTTAACATTTCTGACTGACTTATTATAAATAATAAGGTTTTTAAAGTTTTAAATCCATAACGAATTTATGTTTTGCAAAACTCGACGGCCATAAATTAAATATGTTGAACACGTCGATCGCTTATGACATCACTTTGAAATTACGTAGATGGCTTATGACTAAACAATCAATTTATGGTCACATAACGAACTTGTTTTTCACAGGTGTAAAAACACCTTCTTCAAAATGTGCTATGTAAGGACAAACATTTCCAAATGTAAATATTATTATATAAAAAGTACAATAGAATTTCTTTTTTTTTTAGTATTACTGGAGGAATGATTGTGAAAGTGATGAGGATTGTGTTCGTAAGTGTCTTTTTTAAAAAATCTATTTAATGTTCATTTTAATCGAAGAACACAAGACATTTAAGGTTCACAATGTAAAAGGCGATTTTTTAAGGATAATTCTTGTTTTTGTTATATCGGATGAATATAATAATTGATATAGAATACATATTTAGGACGATGAAGTTTCATTTTCTTTGATGTGTCACAATTTTAGCTATTATACTGCCCTCCACCTGAGTTCAGCCGGATGCATTTCCCAGCACCCAGGGTTTTATTTTCTCCTCTACAACTGATTAGAAAACTTCAAATCCAATATGAAATACTGTGTATACTACATGTTTAGTAGTTATGGACAGAAATAATCCCAAGTACCAAAACTCTTTCACATTTTCAATAGCTACATTTAGGAAATAAGGTATCATTTTTAAACATCTATCAGGATATAAATATGGGTTGGTCACGAGATTAAATTCCATAAAGACCAAAGGGCTTTTTGATGAATTTAATCTCGTACCAACCCGTATTTATAGCCCGATAGATGTTTTAAAATGATACCTTATTATTTATATTTACATTTGTGACTTATTCATACTTTATATTTGCCTGATAGTGACTTTTAACGTGTCATCAAACCCAACGGCATGTATGTTATCCACTGAACGCGTGGCGACCTTTTATGACGTCACTTAGAAATTACGTCGAACGATTATCTATACGCACATCTAGGACCTCTTGACCCCGTACCTGTATTTATACAGATATAGATACGCATTGCTTTCAGTAGTGTTATATAAAGGAAAACATTTGCAAATGTAAATATTAAAAAATTATTTTGAAAAAACAATATTTCGAAACAGGGTTTTTTTTCTTTGCTTAGCGTGTAGATTTTATCTTCCGTAGTGAATGTAAACCGCTTATGTAGACAAAATCACGCATGTATTTACATTGTGAATGTATACACAACCAGTGTAACTGACCACTTTTACACTATTTTAAAACTATTTTGAAAAAAAACACTATTTCGAAACAGCGTTTTCTTTCTTTTCTTTTTTTCTTTTTTTTTTTTTTTTTTTTTTTGCTTTGCTTACTTGAAACCTCTAATGTGTAGATTTTGTCCTCCTTAGTTAATGTAAACCGCTTATGTAGACAAAATCACGCATGTATGAACATTGTACATGTATTCAATTTTAATTTTTTGTTTTGTTTTTTTTTTTTTTGTTGTTGTAGATCAATATTTTGTCTACAATATTGGAAAATGCTGTGAGGTTCCCTGTGGTGATGTGAATAAAGTGTGCCGGTACCCAATAGGCGTTCGCGATCTTGTAGGCTCTTTGGATCCAGAGTATATGCCATGAAAAAAAAATCATTGTAACTTGAACAATAAAGAGAGAAAACATTCAATAATAAAGACTTTTTAGCCTTTTATTTTAGTTTCAATGACATGTTTCGGTATAGAAAAATCAATACAGCCTTTCAAAAGTACGATTTGGTTTGATTTTTGACTTCCTTGCAACATCACAAATTTTTTGCAAGATTATTATAGAAGAAAATGGTTATTTACAATATTTTTTTCAAATCTTAGATTATTGACAGAACCAGATTTTGCCAGGTCTATTCCCCTAAAATTAAATGCCCCTTAAAATCATGGTTGCACAGAACTGAAGATTGAATTAAATATTCTTCCTATATAAAATATTTGTACCATAGAAACTTTAATTTTATTATTTTTCTTACAATATATATATATTACAATAATGAAAACTGTTATCTGAACATTTAAGGATTTGATCTATAAAAGAGGATCTTTAATACGTTTATTATTTAATGATTTAATTTTGTTTATATTCTAGTCTCTCATTGGTTGATTTCCAAAAAGGAACGCAAATTATTTCTTAATAACCTGGTTTTGGTGTGGGGACATACCCCTTTGACAACCAGCTGAATCATCTGTATCCATGCAATCCTCTCATTTCCAGTCCATATGATTTATAAAAAATCCAGATTTAATAAATGTGCCTTTAACTTCAAACAGAAGCTCGATCTTACCTCATGTAAACAAACATCATGGCTGCTAGATCTGTGTATCAGTTATTACGTCCCCTTGTTTCAAATCACTTCCGTTACTAGGGATGTATTATTGAGCGGCAAATTTGAACTCATAAAAAGTACCACAATTTTACACCCACAGTTGTTCAATCATTAAAAAATTAAATTATAAGGAATGACTTTAATTCTTGGCCAAATTATTCTATGATAACCTGGTTTGGGTCATTTTACGCTTTTCTATAATCCGCTTCGCGGATTATATAGCGTAAACTGACCCAAACCAGGTTATCACCGAATAATTTGGCCAAGAATTACAGTCATTCCTAAAGTAAGTAAAATAAGCATATTTTGGCGAGGTTCCTGAATAATTTTCGACTCGCTATTCAAATAGGGTGAATTTTCTGTCTTAAGGCCAAAAGTCCATGGGTGAATTTTCCACCACTCTGGTGCATGCGTGACCTTATATATGCAAGAAACATCCATTTATACATTGTATTAATTTTACGATTTATATACATAGATATAATAAAGACTGATTCCTGAACACAAGCGTTCCTGAGAAGAAGATTTTTAAAGATTATTTCTGCATATTCCAATGTAAAAATATGGATTTCCTATTGTGTTCTCTTATCCCGGGGGTGTTGATTTGATCAATTCAGAATCTACACTATACAGACAGATTGACTTGGTCTACTGCTTTTTATGTACAAAATGTAAGAAAAAAAACGCAAGTTAAATAATAATTGTTTTTTTACAATGTTAACAAGTATTTCATACAGTTTTTGCGATCGATTTAACCTGTGTACATAGAGAACATAGAAAAATAGCTTTTGTTTAAAAATTTTATGTCAGCTGTACTGCTTCTAGGTTTACCCTTATTTTATTCGTATACCTTGCGTTTAATCTTCAGGATAAACTTTTTTTCCATTAACACCCTTCCCCGCAGTCACGCATTTTAACGCATATACCATTTCCTATTTCTAACGCAAAATCACGCATTTACCGTTTCCCCGCAATCACGCATTTTCACGCACTTTAAAAATTTCATTTAATCTTCAATTTATTGCCAAATTCCAACTATTTTATACTTGCTTGAATCTCATCAAATAAGAAAAGTTATTTTCTAATTTAAATCTTATTTCAGAATATTAATTACGCTAAACTTTATAGAAATTTGTACCCCGCTATAAAGCGCTTGTGGGGAAATGGTAAAGTAATATTGCTATGACGCGAGGATTCAATGTATGTTGCATAGCAATTCTGTAAGTTGTAAAGAGTTAAACTATCTGTTTAAAAAAATATCAATGCTTTGCAATCACGCCACGTACAAATCAAAAACACTACGGGGTTGTAGTAACAATGTACATGTAAGCTGTCGCCAGTGCATGTGTCTTCATCATAACAAATTATGCCTAAATGAAATCGTAGATATAATGTTTTTGATTAATTCTATTTATTGATATCACGTTAACTAGCTCGGACAGTTGTCTCCATTCAACCATCTAACTCTTTCCGACCGAAATTCCTTTTCATCATCAATAGTTTTTCTTTTGCCTTTTCGGCATTGATAATCAATTCTCACGAATACAAAAATGCCTAGAAAATAATCTGCTTAGTAAATTAGTTTACTTACTAATTATTTATCCGCTGAAAGTGGGGATATTGATTTAGGTATGTTTGTTCGTCCGTCTGTCTGTCTAGCTATCGGTCTGTAACATTTTCGTTTTCATGCGATATCTCAAAAAGCCTTTGGCTTTTGCAATGAAATTTTACAAAATAACTCCCTACACTCTTTGGAAGATATCTATTGATCCATCAGTCAAAAGGTGAAATGTCAAGGTCATAATTAAATTAAAAAAATATTTTTGACAACTTTAAAAATTTCGTTTGCTACTGCTCTGCTCATGGTTTGTACTGTTTGGATATAATTAATTAGAGCTTGGATAATGTTTGTTATCTCAATATCTTTAAGAACAAAAACCCTTTAAGTTAAGAATTTATCTTAGCTTTTAAGTATTGTCTGATTTTAAGAAAATAGAAAAATTAGAAGCATACAATAATATAATTAATCTATTCTGTTTGCTGTTTACATCTTCTTTCTAAAGTGTTTTAAAAGAAAATATGTCGGGAACAGTTTTTAAAGTTCATGTAGTTCTTTTCTATGTAAACTGAGAAATTTAATTAGTTTAGACAATAATTGATATTTATTATTCCTGTTCTTCCTAGAAATGAAGAGCTAAATTTGAACTGATGTATCACATTTCAGAGAGCTTTCATTCTCATTTATTTTCGTTTAATTTCCATAAACATTTTCATTTAAGAAAGACAGATTACATAAAAGTAGTATTTAAATCAGGAATACCTGTCATTCTTATATTACATAACGCCAGAGATACTACTTCTGTGTAACCTTTTATTTTCAATTAATAAAAGTTTCTGATGTACCATATAGTTCGCTTCTATGCTATTTTTATCTCTTTAGCCTAATTCCAATTATATTCATGTTAATTTATGTTTAATGACTTAGACGTATGATGTAACATCGTGCCCATTGAGAGTGACACTTTCTTTAAATACATTAACGTTAGTACGAAAAGATAATTACATAAAAGTTATCAATGTTACGTGTACTAAACAGCGATCTTACGAGGAGAAAAATATGACAAAAGTGGAAATTTTTCTTATTTTGGTAATTCTTTGTACTATCTGGGTAAGAATTTACACTATTTTATGATTGATTTGAAGATTTTTTTTGTCTCATCATTGAAATTGTAAAAATTTATAGAGATCTTGCATCTCCTTAAAGGGCTGTTCCCGGGGTGTAAGATCTACTTCAAAAGCGGGAAAAACAAACCAAAAATCAAGGTAAAATGATCGTTCTTTTATTGTAGTCATCATTCATATATTCAGTCATTAATGCACTACATATGTATTTTTTCTTCTGTATTATTCTTGATTACTAGACGTTGTTCAGGCCAAATGACCAAACACCGACCCGTTGAAAATTCAGATGAAATACAGGTATACTGTTTCCTTTCCCCTCTCTCTCTTTGACTCTCTCTCTCTCTCTCATTATAAACTAAACTAAGATTAAGGCTCAAGTGAGCATTTCTGATCACAATGTGTTCATTGATTATCGGTGTCAGCATTACAGTATAACAGTGTTGTCATTTTAATATTTTCTCAAAAGTTTATTGTCAACTTTTTAAAAAACTTCTCTAACTTCTTTTTACAAAGCGTAGAACAAATTTTCATGTTTTGGCGATGCTGCTTTTTAAAACAAACAAAAAAAAAACAACTGATATACAGGATAGGGTCCACAATGAAGGATAAACTTTACTCGAAAATATAAAGAAAATTCTTTTTGATATCTCAAACACATTTGCATTATTCATGCGAAATGATCATACAAGTATCTATTGAACCCGGATAGGGTTATGCAGTTAACTATCGCATCATCGAACAATCGAGGTTCGGATTGATAATGCAATGACACGATAATGAGAAGACAAAAAAGCGATGTTGCGATAACGATAAAATGATGGTGCGATAGCACGATAACGTTGAAGCGATGGCGCGATAATGCGATGACGATATTGCGAGAGCACGATAGAGCGATAATGCGACGACGTGATGGTGCTATGATGATGGAGCGATATTCACTTTTACTCCATCGTTCTATCGCACCATCGTCATCGTTCATTGTTATCGCGTCATTGCATTATCGTGCCATCGACTTTTAAATCGATGCTCGATGCTGCTATAGTGAACTTCATGGCCCTATTCGGATTCCATCATAGTGATTTTCAAAAAGTTTTTGTTTGATTGCTTATTTTGGTTAAGTCTACTGTAGGTTTCTATATATACGCGTGGAATTATTTACCGCGTTATTTCGCGAGAAGCACCACAAATAAAATAACTCGCCTTCAATTTTAATATGCTGAATTATGTGTAAATTCTCTTGATCAATCGACCATTAGCGAATTATTTTTCTCGAGATTTGACTTTGAATAGCCAATTCGCGATTTAAAAAAGTTTTCGCGAAAAATAATGAATCTACAGTATCTCTAGTATTATAAATTAATTCATATGGAGACCCCATCGACTGCCTGTTAATTTATTATACTCTGCATACAAGACAAAAAAAGCAGTGAGTGAAGGTTAAAATTAAAATTTATTTAAATAACTAGAACATCAATATTTTTAAAAAAAAGTAGAATCATTATGATTGGAATTTATATGCTTTAATCTGCAAAAATGCAGTAGAAGTTCTTATATATATTTATAGAGGATATCTATATTGTGTGATTTGATATTGGCTTTCTCCTACGATTTGAAATGGTGTATATATCCGCGAGGCTTGCCGATGAATATACACCATTTAAACGAGTTGGATAAAGCCAATATCAAATCACACAATTATAAATGTTCTATTTATCTCATACGACTTTCATTTTAACAAAACTTTTAAACTACCCCTGCAAAACCACATGAATGATTGCTAATTTAAACTGATGACGTATAACTTGATGACGTAGAACCGCTATGTTGACATGCCTCAAAAGAAAGTAGATCGTGTTCAAGATAAAGAATTTTTGCTATCTGCATCTTTAAAAAAATATGTGACAATTGCTGGAGCTTTGAATGAAACAAACTTTTGAAAATTGTAAGGACCATGGGACCGTGAAAATTTACTCTTTGTACGGTGGAAGTACAAAAAATGCTAGACAAGGCTACTTGTAGACTCATTGTTGACACTTCTTTGACATATACAAGTCTTTTCTTGCTTTTAACGATATTTTTGCTCTTTATTATTCATTTTATAAGAGCAATAATTTTCACAAATAAAGGTTTCAATGAATTAAAATTTTGAAGCGAGGGATCGTGTCAAAACTGGAAGTGTTATTGAGAAAGCATCTTAAATCATCTGCCCGTATGTAGATAAAGCATAACTTTTCTAAAGGGCTGTATCTCCCACACGTATCAAGCGAATCTAAGGAAACTCAAGAATTAGATGAAAATGAATTAACAACGATGCCGCCAGTGATTACAGTCAGTCCGAATGACAAGAATTTGCTGATGAAAACTGACAATAAGGAGAGGATGCCAATTCCAGGGGAAATAAATATTACGCCTTCTTGGGACAATGAAGTTTGCTGGGATTTTGAAAAAAAATATTGCGAGCATCTGTCAGATGTGGTAAGGATAACGCAGTCTTTACCATTTATGTGCACCCTATTACACTTTCATTACTTATTGGATACACAATATGATGCATCATATATAATTTATTAACAAATTTTTTTATGCGTGGTAAACATATTCATTAGTTACTCATTGAAAAACATAACAATGAAGGTCAGTTCTGGTTAAGGTGAGAGTAGATCGGTAATTCTTCAGCACAATGAGAAGTAATCATACTCATCAATGCCCCACCGCACAAAAGATAAGGTACAGTTACCCAAACACTGAAATTACATGTACATGTTTTGCTTTAATGTGTTCAAACGCAGCAATGTTTTAACTATCTCTGCTTTAGATTGTTTTTAAAGCCTACCTAGTGTAAATATTAACGGTAAATTACTTACGATTATTTGTCTTTTTTTAATAAAATGAAAAAAAAATGTGAAAAGTTGCATTGAAACTAAATTAAATTAAATTAACCTAAATTAAAGCTACACGAGGAAGGTTGATAAAAACTACGTAGCTAAATCTAGTTTTTATACTGGACCCGATTATGCAGTGTTTAGGCACAGCGATCTTATCTAAATTGTATACTGCGCAGTTGAATTCTTTCGGAGAAAAGTCACACAGAGAACAACAAGTCCATTTAGAAACTGCTACATTTTACTAGTGTTAACAAAGATCGAGAAGATTATCTATTTTTGGAATATACTTAGTAGAAGGAAACGTAATAGTTGGACATACAAAACGCAAATAAGGACAACTGCCAACGCACTTTGAAAAAAAATTCAAAGTGCGTTAAATTTGGGACACTCTCAACGCACTTAAATTTTTTTGCAAAGTGCGTTAAGAGTGTAAATCAAAATTTTTATCGTGTAAATATTTAACGCTCTTTGAAAAAAATATGTATAAAACAAATTTTCTAGGCTTAGATTTTAGCAATTGAGGGAATCAATTTGTAATACTTATATCTTTCGAAAAACGTTTCAATTTACATGTTTTGATTTACATTCATTGAGAACAAGGAGAAGACGAGTATACATAAGGTCTCTAAGCCTAACTTTTTTTTCTTATACATACCCGTTGGTAGCAACTCGAAAGTGGCCTTCCAGGTAAGGCCCAATTTGCAAAACATTTGTGTGACAACCCCCCCCCCCCCACCCCCCCCCCCACGTACCGATGCCTATGCTACACCCAAATATGTACACATATGTATGTTTACGTGTATGTATTGAATAACTGATGTAACGTCAAAAACTTTCAATAAATTTTAGTTTACATTAAATGCATGCAAACTGGAAAAAACTTAAGTACAGTAAAACATTTTTGAGAGAAAGAATTTTCAAAGTATGTGAAAGTCAAAATTGCTCACTTTCACATCCTGAAGTGACCTTATCACCGAAAAGTTATCGAACAGGTTCAATTATTTGTTATACCTAACCCCCCGTTCACACATAGACGCCGCTTCTACTACGATCAAAGTGTGGTCAAAAGCGTGGCCGATCGTGACAAATCGCAGGAGGAACGTCGTTGGGTCGTCAGAAGCGTAGTATGATCGCAGTATAGTCTTCATGATCGGAGAGCTCTACGCTCTCACCACGCCTATTTTGAACATGTTCAAAACAAGCGTAGAGGGATCGTGGCCAACAAGAATCGGGGTGAAGTCGTAAAAAGGACGTAGAAAAGCGCCGTAATCGTACAAGCAGCGCAGAAGCATCGTAGAGAGATCTTCATGATCGTAATAAAAGCGCAGTGAGAGCGTAGGAACTTACCAAGCACGCTCATACAACGCTCCCTCTACGTTCGTACTACGTTCTCACTACGATCTCTCTACGTGCCTGAAGATCCTACGAAGACCTACAATGACATTACGCCGATCATATCACGACCTATCAGTCAAGAGTTTGTTCTTATACCGCTGATATTGACCAATCATCATCTGTTAACTGCATGTATAGGGTGACACTATACTTGATGATCATTTACAATCGAGCATTTTCACATCTTGTTACAGTTATTATAATTGAAAATGCCCTAAACCATGTGGTAAAGGCCGGAAAAAAAAAACTGGGGTCGCAAAATATGTATCATCGCTAAAATTGTACTAAAAAAATCTGCAGTTTTAAGATATATTTACATCATCACCAAAATCGTACTAGAAGTGTAATGCAATCGTTATATGATCGGCACCACCGTAGCGACATCGCGGTACAGTCATCTAGGTCTGTGTAGCGTCGTAGTATGGTCTTCAATGTCGTAGTGGCTGCGTAGAGTAAACGCACTAAACACGGCTGCTTGTCGGCAACAGTCTGCATAACATAGTAATAGAAGCTTAAGCAGCGCGTTTGACGTAGGGACATCGTAGTACGGTCGTAACGAAGACCATAATTTGCCAAATTGCTCTATTTTGACGCCGATCGGCTGCGATCTGCCCCGATTCAAAAAATTTTCAGATCGTGGCTTGATCGGGATGATCGCCGTAGAGTCGCAGCTCTGTGTGAAAGGGGGTTAAGATTTTCAAGAATATTGACCGAGCCATACACTTTTTTTTTTCAAAGTGCGTTTATATGGTCGATATCAACGCACTTTGAAAAGAAACTTTATTTTTTCAAAGTGCGTTGATTTGGTCCCAAATTTAACGCACTTTGAAAAAAAATTTCAAAGTGCTTAATTTTTCAAAGTGCGTTGTAACACTGCATACATGAATAGTTCCACCTGTCGTCAGAACAAAATGTCTAATCATCCTCAGTTACTGTAGATTTAAATTTGCATAGATTCAGGTTTGTTTTAATCATTTCCTCTCTTAGGGTCTCGACAGCTTAAGCTATTACTGACAGAATTGATTTTTGATTGTTCGTATAGTCAAAGTGCCCAGATAAGCTATGAGGCCCCTGGGCTCTTCTTTTAAGTTGTTTATTTGATAGTCAAGCTAGTACATGTAGTATTATGATTTAAGAAATGAATGTAATGTTTTTTCCTTTGATCGATGTGTCAAAGAAAAATTTGGACGGAAAACTTCATCAATGCGCGTGGCGCATTGATGAAAAAGTTTTCCGTCCAAATTTTTCTTTGATACATCGATCAAAGGAAAAAACATTACATTCATTTCTTATCATTTAATTATGATTTCAAATAAATAAAACGAAACTCTCTTTCACCTTTCTATTGAATTTACGCATCAAAAACAGTGCGCACGAATACATCACAACAACGTTAACGTTGATGAAATTCAAAATGGCTCAAACGAGGAAACGTTCTCAAATATTGTCGTGGCATTACCAACATTCTCTGAAATAATTTACAGTTCTTTAACACAACAAACTTACCTGTTGTGTTATCCCAATCGGTATATTTTCCCCGGTAAGTTATCTAAGTTCGTAAATGTATAGGGAAGCTACTCAAATATCCTAACAGTTCGAACATTAACGTTAGGTCACAGAAATGTTGGATTTCTATTTGCACATCTTTCATCTGAATATATTATAAATACGTATCACAACCTGTCAATGCTGTAAAACCTGAAAGAGTCTGCTGCCGACTGTGTAAGATTAAAAGAATCTGTTCTCATTCATGCAGTGCCGTTTTTCTCGATCATTCGTTTCCCAAGATTTAACAGATTAACGGTTTTCCTCTCTTTGGTAGCCTAAAAAACGTTTCTTCAGAATTCTATTGTTTTTACCAGACATCTCAAAGCCAAACATTTAACAAAATTATGTCGATTTCTCTCCTTCTTTCCCAAAACTGTTATGCAGACGATTTGAATTGTTTAGCAAAGGCCGATAATTCAACAAGAAACGAAAGTAGAAAATAAGTCAGGAATATAACGGACAGATTTCGAAAATCAGGAAAATATTTATTAAAGTAAAAGTATTTAATTATTCCTTCATGAAGTAAGTAACCTGGAAGCGGGAAATATACATGTAGAGACTGCCAAGTAGTTCCGGCTGCTTAGTGCAAGCGAACTCTAGATTTTATTGATGTAGGTATCAAAAGAATTGTTTAACCAATCAGAATCAAGTATTTCATAGAAATTAAATGATTAATTTTTCTTTTTCAGTTTAACTATTCATCAGATTGTGATAGTGACGAATATTGCAATTGTAAGTTTATCTTTCATATTCATTTGGCGTACATAATACTCATAATATGTCCAATGGTGGCAGTGTTATTTAGAATACCAAAAAAAAAAAAAAGCCAGTCAAAATTATGGTCGCCGTGGTGTTTTATTGTGGCACTTTACAAACGAGTGTATAATTGAATAAATTAATGTATTGCCATAAAGAGAGACGAAGTTTGCTCTTTTTTTATTTGGGATGCAAGGTATGATATTTAAGTACAAATACTTGCAGTACCCTCGAATCATGAGTTTTCGTGGCATTACGGGAAATGTGTAATAAAATGCTTCAAGACTGAATAATTGAGATGTTTGCTATTTATCACATACACAAATAATATTTCTCCTTTTTTGAAAAAAAATGATTTTAACTCACAAATCATTTGTTATTTGTTCAGAAGGTCATTGAAGCTGTGCATAGTTGCTCTTTCGATTTTTTTTGCTGACGTCATATGTTTTCGTGGTATTTATAAAACAAGTAAACTATGGAAATCTAGTCGGACAAAATCCTTTTAGAAAAATTTTACAGTGTCAAAAATACTTGTTAATTGACAAAATGATTACATTATTTGACATGGAAATTTACTTGTTGTTAATTAAGACCACATCTTTCTAGGCGTTTCTAAGCTGTATTGCTAAATAATGTAAAAATATTCTCTTTCTCAACAGTGGCCTAGAAGTAATTTTGTAAAGCTTTATTTGAATGTTTCATGTTTTAAAATATAAATTCCTTGTATATTTAATGAAATTACATATTTAATTCAATTAATTATCAATGACACAATGTTTTTTTTATCATATAATTTTTTAACACCCCCGATATTTTCTTTGAAATTTATATAAAAAATGACGTTACAAGATCACCGTAGAAAAAATATCAAAAGTGGGAAATTCCAAATTATTGTCACATGACCGGTAGCTGTATGGATAGTTAACAGACGATGATATGCAGGATCGCCGGCTATTAGTTTGTAACTTTGGTATTCTAGTTCAAATCACGACGAATAAGAGTATATTACGCAAATTGTCAAATTTGCGAACTATGCATAACTCACTCGCTATATTTTATTTTAGCAAAGACAAAAAGTTTTAACATTTGGTCATAAAACATGCACAGGGTTCCCCTTTATAAATTGCAAACATGTAATTTCGATCTCGCATTGTGCGATTATTCATAAAAATAAAAAATACCACAAAAATGTATATACCACGAAAACACATGACGGGACGGTATTGATAACACCTATAAACTAAGATAGCGCAAGGACATACTAGGACATACAGGGACATTCTAGTAACTTAGTTAACATTATTTACATTTTAAGCGACAAGACTGTGGGTTTTATTATGTAAAAAATTAAACTAGAGAAAATCTTCAATTATATATTCTGTATGTAGTTTACATTTTATTCAGTGTGCATGCCAAGTGGAAGTTTAAGAAAATTCTATCGGCAACATATTTTTATTCAAAATAAATTGCTTTTAAACGGTTAAAAAACATATTCTACAGAGATGCGCGAAGTTTTCAAAACCCTAGTCGGTCCCCTTAAGTTTTTCATATCTTTTCTGTAAAAACGTGCCGTTGTTATTTTAAAGTTTGTCTTTGCATTATATATATCCCTTAATATGTTCCTTAAGATTTTAATATTAACTTCAAATGTACCTGCATATAAATGTGCGGCAGTATCAATTTACTAGAAAATAATACTGAAATATTTGAGAAATATATATCAATGGGTCTCAGTGAAGTAAAATTTCCAGACAACTTTTCAAATTATACAATACTTTTTCCGAATGAACCTTTTCAACTTCATACAATGTACAAAGTACCTTTATATAAAAAAAATGCATCACATAAAATTTGATAACACTGTCTTGAGTGGCATCTTTAAAACTGAGCTAAACACTAATTTAAGAAAAGTGATTCAAGGTCAAAGAAAAGGTCATGGTAAAAAATGTTGATCTAGTTGAATAGCTCTCATCAATATCTATCAGCATATGAAGTTTGATGAAAATATCTTGGATAGTTTCTTTGAAACTGAGCTTTGAACTGAGCTAGGATACAAAATCTCTGTTAATATATGATATGAAAGAAATTTGCCCACATACATGTAGTCTGAAAATGACCCCTGTAAGAAGATTGTGAAATCAGGCATCCGACTTAAGAATGAGCCTTATTTTAAAATTATTAATTGATCTATTCAAACTTCGTGTAATACTTTGCATAAAGATAACCTTTTTGCTACTTAAATCAGCAAGTCATATTGATACTGGGGATTTTTAGTAAAATGTTACGTAAAAATAGAACATAAATAGCGTCGAAATAGAAAATCCCCATGTAAATATCTGACAGTTTAAGTTTTCTTGAGAGAAAAAGTATGATTCAATTAAAACAAAAAAATCAACAAAATGATTCAAATGGATCCTAAAATAAAATGTGTAAAAATAAAGAAAATTGAACCAGTGGTTTCAAATATTTTGGCCATCAAAGAAAATTTCAATGGCAAAGAAAACTGAAAAATTAAGTAGAAGAAATCACAATATTTGACCTTTGTCCTCTTGATATGACCTTAAATCTTTGTAGTACATAAAGAATGGAGACTCCTTGTATATGTGTCCAAATATCAGCCTTCTTCTATTTATGGATCAAAAGATATACTGGATTTTATAACAGACTGTTACATGCTTGTTTATTGCACTTAGATAACGTAAACACATTTCAACATGTAAGCTCCCAATTGACCAATATATAGGATTTTCTGATTTCTTTAACAAAATATGATGCAAATATGATAGAACTGATTATTTTTCTTACAGGGATGATTCATTGTTGTCAATATAGTAATGTTGTTCTTTTTTCTCCAGTACTTTTTTTAAGAAATGGGTTAAAATAGAATCCACGGGTGTTTTGTCCTTCACTGTACCTTAATATTTATAAATAATACCGATTTATTGATAAGTATTAGATTTTAAATAATACCTCTATATCGGAGACGTCTCTCTTTCATCGGGATGCAGGAATTATAAAAGTCCTAAGGGGTGTTAAGAAAGTTCGTTCCATGGTGAAATATTTTGAAATTGTCAATGAAAGTAAAGATTTTTCTTTCATGTGAAAAAAAAATACATGTATAAGCATCTTAAAAGCAACCAACCAAACGACAGAAATGCTGGTCATTTTGTGTAAAAATATAGAATTATTTACTTTTGTTTCTTCACAGCTTATCTTGCATCACACAAAACTGATGAGTTCAGGTATATGTAAGGTTAATCACTTTTCAAAAGAATTGGGGTATCGTATTAAAAATTTTCATTGACTTGATACAATGAGCATTGTATTGGAAAGTAACTTTTAACTGTGTACTTTATATATATTAAACACATATGCCGCATCCCAGATTTTTCTGATCTGACATCATCTGTTTTAAAACCTACCCTCTCCTTAATGATTCAACAAAAGACAACACTTTTTCATAAGCAACAAAGGTGTCTGCGAACATGGATTTTTAAATATCTTCTAAAAGTATTTCTTTTACAAAATGAAAGAGAAATGTGGAATGGACTTTCTTTAAACCCATCATAAAAGTAAATTTGTTTACGTTGCATTGCTGTAGTACGTTTTGACATCATCATTTAATAATTTAATAATGTTTTGTTGGTAGCGATTTGCATTGTTATAGTACAAGATTGCTTTTTCTTTACACAATTAAAATCTATAACAGAATTTAATTGTAAAGAAAAGCCGTGGCTGTATTCCCTTGTACTGAACTGTCACGATATTTTCAACTGAGTACCCTCGAAAGGTAAACGATAACATTTTATCGTAAGGTATACATATATGTTAATGTAAAACAAGCTCTGCATATTTTAAAATATATATAAAATTTGAATTAAAAAATATATTGCTTTTCTTGAATAATTATAATTTCACCCTGAAAGAAAATTGTTGTAAAGAGGTCATTATTTCAATAATCATAATGACCGGGTCATTATAAGCCACGTGCTGTAAGGGTCATTATTGCCGTAAACAGTACATTTTTGGAGTGCTTATTGAGTTTTAAATCCTTTTAAGACAGCGGAACATTAACTGGTAAGATTGGAAATATACAGCTTATGTCATTTCTTTCTGTAATAATCAAAACATAATCATGGATAGACAATGAAATGGGCGGGTTCGATTCGCCATGGACGCGGGTAAACATTGGTTTGAAATTCTTCTTTGAAATTCATTTTCAATCAAAGAATAGCGTTTGATTTCTTGTCTCTGAAAGGGTTTTCTTTCACATGAAAAAGAATAAGCAAAAACCATTTTAATTTTTTTAATATTTTAAACAAATGGATGTTTTGTAGGTTGTCGTAGCAATTGTTTTGAACTTAGGCTTTGATTTTTTTTTTAATATTATGAGTTATGCTGTGAACTGAGCTCTGCTCGACCTTTTTGAAAATCATAATAACATATAGTTAAACATGTATACAGGTATCTGTATTGAAAATTATATTTATATAATATATGTCATTTAGAGTGGGTTTGTTTCCTTTTTTTATAGATATATCTGAAGGTGGAAAGTGTTGTGAAATTCCTTGTGATGATATAACGAAGAAGTGTCGGTTCCCAGTAGATAATCCGGATCTTGTGCTTTCTTTCTCTCCTGAATCGGATCGTGGTTCCACGATAGTATCCACATTTGGAGAACATATAATGGAACGAGTTTCACAACTTCCAAGAAAATGAAACATTCTTTTTGACTTGAAACACTAAAAAAAAGATAGATTGATATCTGAAGTCTCCAAGAAAACGAAACATTCCTTTTGATTGAAACACTAAGAATACTTTATTTCGTTGAGTTCATAAGTCTTGTTATGAGATTCTTTAACAATACAATATTTCAAAAGTACAATTGTGTTTTAGATTTGTAAAAAAGAATGAACTTATCAGCGGAATCGGTCACTGTACGTTGTGTGTGTATAGTTTCCCTATAACTGACTAGGTAGTAGCAAAAGAAGTCCTTGTTTTGGTATATCACAACCCAACTTGTCTAGGGGGTATCGTGTTTTATAGCTTAAATGACGGTCACTCGCCCATTCATATATTTACATGTAGACATTCACGCCTGATTTATTCATTTTGTAAAAAGTTTCCATTTCTCATCAAATTAACTTGTACATTTGTTTAAAGATGCTCTTTTTTTCAATTTTATACAAATTGGTCAATATAACTTGAAAGTTGTTAGGACTTCGTATACATCTTGAACAGTATACATGTATTCAAATGATAATTATTTTAGGAATAACTGAGTTTTACTGGCGACGTGTAAACGGATGTTTGCGACCGTTAAATTAGCATTAACGATCGCAAATACCAAATTATAAGATAGTCATTCCCATTTTAATGTAATCTATGCTTTTCTGTTTGTTGTTTAGGTCTTATTTTGTTGAGTTTTATTACATGAGATAAGTCACAGGGCATTGTATTTTCTGCGTCGCTCTATTATGACATCACAATGAAAAGCTTTCTCTCTCCTTAAAGCTCGTTTTACTACTTCAAACATCAGTCCACTAGCCAATCAAAACGTGTTTTACAAAACAATTGCATTAGAATTAGCCATTTCATCTACTTTTTAATAAGTTGATAAATTTTATAATTTTTTTTACCCTGCTTCCTAATGTGTGTAAATCTGGTTTCATGTCTTCATTAATTTGATTGTCTGTTCTTCAAAAAAGATTAGGAAATGCAGTACTGATGTTTCCTTTTTTTATATATAAAACATTAAAGACCAACTTTATTTTTTAAATCCTTATTGAATTTTACATATTTAGAAAAAATCATTTAATTTTACTCAGCCAATAATTGATTTAAATTGTAAAGGATGAGAAATATTTATCAACATAGCATTTACGAACAATTTTAAAGTTTATGATAAACAGTTTTTTATTCAAAACATGAACTCAATGCGATATCAGTACGCATTAATGACAAAATAAAATAGGTACCGGTGTTTTTTAATCTCAAAGATCGATTTATTCAGTAAACAGAATCGTATTTTTTTTTAGAAGAAAATAATTCCCTATTTACAATATATACAGCAAATGTAGTAGCAGAACGTGGCTTTCCAAAAACGAGTGAAAAATTCAACTTGATTTGATCGGCAACTGTTTATAGAAATAAGCCAAATGACTGTTAAGGTTATTTAAATTACAATAAGTCTTAAATTTAATTATTTATATGAAATAGATCTTTCAACATGCAATTAATTTCAAACATTATAATACTAAGACAGGACATAAAAACGGAATTCATGGAATTTGAGAAGTGGGATCAGGTGCCTACAAAATGTAAACAATCCTTGTTGACCGGGCACAGCCGCTGCGAGTCTAATGCATTGATGAAGTATACGAATTATTAAACAACATCTATACATATTGTTACTAAATACTGCATCACCCAGATCTACATGTAGAGACAGAAAATTTAGGGTTGATTTGACAGATTGATGAAGGGTTGAATAGAGATCGATCTTAAGTAAAATCTCCGCACATACCGAACCCCTGAAAACAGCACCTATACAGTTCTGAGGTTTCAAGAGGTGGAATTTGGTGCCTTCGAGGAGTAAGCATCCCCTGTTGAAAAACACGCCAGCCGTTTAAATTATTTCATTTTTATTGCATTTAAATCAAGTAGTCTGAATATTTAGTGTATCTTTACTCACCATTCTTAGATTTTACTGATAAATGGTTTCATCCGTGAAAGATTTATAATATATTTACATGTATATTTTTAATTTTATAAAATACATTTAGTTGAAGTTTATATCACAATTATAGTAATTTAATCAAAGCAAATAACCCTTCTGTGTCTTACTTTTCGATAATTAATAAAGCGTAATTAGAGGATTTAATGATAGACATACATTGTATGTGTATTCAGAAAAAATAACCTCATCGATGAACACAGAACACAACTACGACATGTCCATTCGTAAAGGAATCAGGTGTTTTGACTAATCTTTTATAATTTAAAACACACCATTTCTTACAACTTTTTAAACATGTATGCATCAATGTATGGAAGTTGTTAGAATTATTAGTTAATATAATATTGTTGAAATAAAAGATGAAAGAATACGTGAGTAACAAAAATCGTCAACACCAGGTAATAATGACAATGTAGAGATGTCTTGGGTTTTTCTCGTGAACTTCAGTAAGCCACCATCATGTAAAGTCTATAAAAATGTATTCCTTCATAAAATGTAAAAAAGCAAAGCTTCATGAGGGATAATTTATTTCTACTTATGGATTGATTGATTGTATACTGTTCAACGTCCCTCTCCAGAATATTTCACTGATATGGAGACGTCATCATTGCCGGTGAAGGGCTGCAACTTTAGGCGTATGCTCGGCACTTACGGCCTTTGAGCAGGAATGTATCTTTATCATGCCACACCTGCTGTGACACGGGGCCTCGGTTTATATGGTCTCATCCGAAGGACCGCCCCATTTAGTCGCCTTTTACGACAAGCAAGGGGGTACTGAGGATCCATTCTAACCCGGATCCCCACAGGGTTTCTGCTTATGGAAAAAAATATGCATCAAACACCTTTCTGAAATATACCACTACATGTACATGTAGCTAGAATAATGTAACAATCTCAAAAAACTAAATATATTTTTAACTATATTTTACTTTATTATAAAACCATGTATTCTGAGAGTGGATCCGATTCAAAATTTTCAATTAATCTTATGACGTACATTTCAAGGATGAAGGTTCAAGTGCGATTTTTTGACAGAAATATCTCTCTTGCCTGTTTTCTCATATATATTTTCATCCACTTCTCAAGAACCACTAATCCAGTTTCGACCAATTTTACCTCAAAGTATCTCGGTGGAATTCAATTTTGTTCAAATAAATGGATACTCCTTCTTTCAATAGGAGGCAATTTCAATTTTGTGACAAGAAATGTTGTCTTTTGAAAATCTCAAGAACTATTGCAATAGATAATGTTATACTTATGTGGAAGCATCTTTTGGTTGTGTAAAAAATAATCTGTTTAAATTATGACCTGACTAGGGAAAGTCCACAAGGAAAAATTAAAGTTTAACGTAGTAAAGTATAGGAAAAACATATTTCTCAAGAAAAACAAAGCCATGATGGGTCATACATGTACATGTATTCATATGGAAGCATCATCTGGAAGCATACATGTAGATTCAATTTTGTTAAATAATAACCAAGAGAGTGGGGCTACAATTGGTGAACAAAGCATTACAATGTAATGCATAGGGTAAAAAAAAATCTTTCATCAAACATATGCTGATAACAAACAGTATTAAATATCTTTAAAACAATACAAAGTAGGAGCACAGCAAACACAGACCTCCAAAACATCAGAGGTTGGATCAGGTGCCATGGAGGAGTGAGCATCCCCTGCCGACCGGTCACACTCACCGTGTGCTCCTTTGGTTGAACATTTACAGGAAACCGCTTTGTATCTTTGTTTTTAAGTATTCTTATGAATTTTAGGAATCTCATTAAAAATAATGTGGTAGTTAAAATTCATTTTGGTTCTTTGAGTAATTGAGTAATATTCAAAACAGATATATCATTTTGAAAAAAATGTTTCTTAAGATATAGTTCTTACTCTCAACCGCTTTTGAATTAATACAAACGCTTAATAATGCAACAAAAATAAAACGAAGTTTTATCTATATAAATAAACATTAGTAGTAATGACTTTGAAAACTTCAGTCCTAAGTCAAAGAACACAGTGCATTAGCGTAAGGATTTTTGATAATCGGTGTTATCGTAGTTCTCCAAACATACGAGGTAAAGCAGAAGAGGGAACGAGACCAATCGCACCATCTCGGGTCTTTCCGTCAGAGGTCGGAAAAACAACCTCGAATGTATTAACATCGCCGGAAAGAAAATACGTCGGGAACAGTTTTTATAGTTCGTGTAGTTCTTTTCTATGTAAATTGAAAAATTAAATTAGTTTAGACAATAATTAATATTCATTTTTCATGTTTTTCCGAGAAATGAAGTGCTAAATTTGAAGTGATGTACCACAAGGTTTGAAATGAATGTTAAACAAGCAAAATATCACATTTGAGAGCTTTCACTCCCATTTATTTTCGTTTAATTTCCTCAAACATTATCATTAAAAAATGTAGTTTACAGAAATGTAGCATATAAATCAGGAATACGTGTCATTCTTATATTACTTAACGCCAGAGATACTACTTCTGAATAACCTTTTATCTTAATTTTATAGAAGTATCTGATGTACTATATAGTTGGCTTCTATGCTATTTTTATCTGTCTAGCTAATTATAATTACGTATATTCTTTTTAATTTTTATGTTTAATAACTTAAACATGTGGATGTTTAATAACTTAAACATGTGATGTAATATCGTGCCCATCAAGAGTGACACTTCCTTTAAATACTTTAATATTAATACGAAACTCAAGATAATTATATAAAAGTTATCAATTTTATATGTACTAAACAACGGTCTTACGAGGAAAAGAATATGACAAAAGTGGAAATATTTCTTATTTTGGTAATTCTTTGTTCTATCTGGGTAAGAATTTACACTATTTTATGATTGATTTGAAGATTTTTTTTTGTCTCTATATTGAAATTGTAAAAATTTATAGAGATCTTGCATCTCCTTAAAGGGCGGTTCCTAGGGTGTAAGATCTTCTTCAAAAGCGGGAAAAATAAACCAAAAATCAAGGTAAAATGATCCATTTTTCTATTGAAGCCATCTTTCATATACTGTATCATTGAATACACTACATATGTATATTTTCTCCTACGTTTATATTATTCTTCATTACTAGACGTTGTTCAGGCAAAATGACTA